CTCTCTCTCTCTCTCTCTCTCTCTCTCACACACACACACACACACACACACACTCACACACACACACACACACACACACACACACAACATTCTCTCGCAGCACCAAGGAACTCTCCAATCCCGTCTCCTCCCCTGCCGATTACGAGCTTTTTCAACATTGACGTCCTCGCCCTCCTGCTCACCGTCGTTCATGTCGTTGGAATCTTTGAAATCCATTCTCCTGTTTTCGCGCCTCTTCTTATCCCAGTAGACTGTACCGCCCAGATCCCTCTCTTCATCCCCGGTCTTCTGATTCCAACAATTCATATGGCCATTGTTCTCTTCATCATCATCATCATCGTCGTCATCATCATCATCATCATCATCATCATCATCACCGTTCTGAGATGATTCCAATGATTCATTAGCACCATCCTTATGACCATCCCCGGTCTTCTGATTCCAAAGAGTCATATCACTATTACCGTCAGCATCATCATTCTCCTCATCATTAATATCATCATCATCATCATCCTCATTATCGTGATTGTATTCTCCTGAACTGTGAGTATTATCCCATCTGTTCCTCAGATCAACATCATTCACTCTCAATACCTTACCATCACCTTTTTGAGGCTGATGGCACTGCCTTATCACACAAACCCGTCCTAGTTCACACCCACAGTTCAAGCACCGCACATTCAACTCCATCTGTGGAGCGGTATCCCTCCGGCCCGGCAGTGAGGCCGGACCAGTTTCAGGCCGCCGGCCTGACCCTAGTCCGGTACCAGGTTATTCCGCTACTGGACCCAGGCCGGTATATCACTTCGGCCTAGGTCCAGGGCGGCAGGTTCATTCATTCAGTTGTTCGTTCGTTCATTGGCCGGACTGGACCCTCATTCAGCTGCTGCTTCTCGTTTGTGTCCATCTCCTCTCTCCTCTCTCTCTCTCTCTCTCATGCCGTGCATCTGGTCCGTTACTGCGACAGGATACGTTCGGCATCCAAGTTGACACCTTTCTGACGCTGTCCTGTTGCTGTTGGTACCACGGATCGACCTCCTGCTGTCCGAGCACGTACCTGGTCTTGGCGATGGTCTCCAGGGTCGACATCTTCTGGTACTTTGGTCGCTGCTCCTGATGCCATGGATTGCACCGCCAAGTGCCACGCAGTCTGGGGGCTGAGCGCCACGAGTGAGAAATCGTAACAAGGCTTCCGTACATGAACCTGCAGAAGGATCATTGACAGCTGGACGGGTGACCCCCTGCCACGTCAGC